GTATGTGAATACTATAAGCATGGCATACTGTCTAATGACATTTTTGGTAGAAGGCGGCCATTTTGAAAAAGGGCCGCCATTTTAACGTATTTTACTATAACTCGAGAAGGAGTGGAGCGATTTTGTTCATATTTGGTATGTGAATACTATGATACGACGTCAGATATTGTACATCACGGCGTAACACTGTTGTAATTGTTCAAAATATTAAGGATTGTTAAATGTATTATTTGTTATTTATTTTAACTCGACTATTTAGTTTTATTTAGTTAAAGCAATGAATAATAAAGGAGAACATATAATACGCTAACGGCGTAACGTCTTATTTTGTAAAGGCTTCACCTGGGCTTGCGATGATAAAGTGATGTCTATCTCAATATATACTGGTTCAAATTGAATGAAATTAATTCTTGTATATAGTTAGGGGTATAGTTGAAAGAACATGCTGAAACATTTGAACGTTTTGAATGTTTATCACTCAATTAGAGATATTTAAACACAAAAAATGAAACGTAATTTTGTGATTTTGTGATTTTTTTCACATGGCTTCACTTCATATTTCTTTCAATAGTCGAAATTATACATTTTTTTTGATAAAAATGTAGAATATCATATGCCTTTAAGGAATCAAAAAAGAATAATTCACCTTCCAAACGATTTAATGTTTAATTGATCAAAAGACATATCTTGTTGGTACGAAATTCTGCCTGTCCACACTTTTTTTGGCGTAAATATAAGCGTTAAGTTAGCATTGTTATATTATGACGTCATCACACAGAATTTGTTCGTCTTTATCAAAATGGTGAATTTAAATATTGTACAAATTTGAGAAAGATCCGTTTAGAAATGAAAAAATTATCTTCATTTTTGTTTAAAATTAAAATCATTTTTCTTCAAAATGTTACAGTCCACACCCGGTTTTAGCGTAGAAAGTCACATAACACGGCTTGCGTGATAATCAATTAAAAAGTTCCAAATTAGTTTTTTTTTAATTCCGATAGGCAAAATACTTCCTGGACATATATGTTCAACTAATGACAAAATATTGTAGCAAAATATGATTTTGCTGTCGAGATATCGCGGTTTTAAAAGTAAGTAGGAATGTAAAAATGCAGTAAAATGCCGTGTGGTACAGTATCTGACGTCGTATCTATAAGCATGACACACTGTCTAATGACACTTTTGGTAGAAGGCAGACATTTTGAAAAATGGCCACCATTTTCACGTATTTTACTGTAACTCGAAAAGTAGTGGAGCAATTTTGTTCATATTTGGTATGTGAATACTATAAGCATGGCACACTGTCTAATGACAATTTTGAAAGAAGGTGGCCATTTTGAAAAATGGCTGCCATTTTTGCTATATACTTTGTTTGTAAAAATGCCAGTCATGGCTGTTCGATGGGATTTGCTACGCATTGGCGTTGCTGTTGCTGTAGTTAAAGATAACATATTTGCCAAACAAACGCATTCGTTTTTGTTGTCAAATAATCATTAGTACTTCAGGAAATTGCAATGCACATTTTTTCGATAAAGCCAAATGTGTACGGGGGGGGGGGTCAACTGACCCTCTCCCTCAAGATTTTTCCACGGTACGTTTCTGCCAAAAAATATTTTGTATAATCCGAGTAGCTATAGCTACAGATAAAATACCTTTTTTGTGCACAAATCAAGGTGATCAGGGATAAAGTTTGATGATTTTTTTTCAAAAATTGCATGGAAATCACACAGTCTTTATGGTTTCATAGAATAAAAATATAAGCTGGTTCTATTTACAGCCTTCTTTTTAATACACATTGTATAGTGAATACGCTTTCAAACAATACACATTACAAGGAAATCTGCCTTTTATTGACTGAGATGCCAAATTTTCAATATTATCTTGTGGTCAGCAAATCGCGTTTCAATCAAAATAATTTGAGTAAAAATTGATTTTCCAAAAACGTAGTTTCGTTGTTCCGTAAAAATGACAAACTACCGTAAAAAGTTTACCATTTTTTCCCGTCAAAACGACCGTAAAAATCTACCGTAATTTTACCGAAATCTACCGTAAAATGTTATATCATAATACGATTTTTTTCTACGAGAACGGTCGTAAAATCTACCGTAAGTATTTGGAAATCTACCGTATTTCTGCTGAAATTAATAGTTTTTTGTTCAAACTACCGTAAAATCTACCTGCATTATTTGGAAATTCTGAAAAATTGAAGTCTTCCCGCATTCCCCTTGTAATATTTCATTACCAACCCGAAAATAAATAGGTGTCGGCAGGTCCGTGACAGTGGTTATTGCCTACTTAGTAAGTAACTAAGTAAGCTGGTGTGTAATCAGTCAACACACCGGGGAGCATCGTGATGCAAAAACACAGTGTTCAACTAACACATGTTCTACTGTAGTTATAAAAACACTGAAGTGTTCAAATTGTAAGTCTGTTTTTGAAAGGTTCCCATGAATGCTGCGTTAGAAAAACATACTTTATTATTTATTCATTGAAGTGTGTCAGAATCTACGCAAATCAGTTTTTTAATCTACCGCAAATACTGCCGCATTTTTTCAAAATGTTCCGCAAAATCTACCGCATTTTTTTTTCAAAATCTACCGCAAAAACTTCCGCATTTTTTCAAAATCTACTGTAAAACTACAGCATTTCTAAAAATCTTCTGCAAAACTACCGTTTTTTTCAAAGATCTACAGCAAAAACAACCGTATTTTTTCTACTGCACAACTACCGCATTTTACAAAATCTTCCGCAAAACTACAGTTTTTCCAAAACTTTACCGCAAAACTACCGCATTTTTTCAAAAGCTACCGTAAAATTACCGCATTTTTCAAAAACTTCCGAAAAAGCATCGTTTTTTTCAAAAATCTACCGCAAAAACTACCGATTTTTTCAGTATCTACTGTAAAACTACCGCATTTTTGTCGAAAAATACCGCAAAAACTACCGCATTTTTAACAGATCTACTGCAAAAATATCCCAATTCAAAAAAACTACTACCGCAAATGTTTAGCCTTTGGTTAGCAGATATGTTCAATGAGCAAACTCACGACAGAGAAAGGGCTAAAATTACGTTATGAGTGATCATAATAATGGATTTCAATATATCTAAATAAACAAATCTTATAAAAGTAGCAAATGAGTACCAAAATATACTTTTCATCTATACCATTTCGTTGTACTCTAAGACTGGCCATTAAGCTTTTCAGTACTTCCGTCGCACATTCTCATTGGTGAGTGAGTATGCCATACGTTTTTGGTGAGAATGTGATACACCGCTCGGGTGATATGGCATATATTTGTATCATGTTTACCGCGTAACATACTATATAGTTATACCATGGTTAGGGTATCTTTTATTATTAAAAGGAGGTAAAGAAACAGTCGATGAGAACTTCTGACCAGTCGTTGAGAAAGAGGTCACGCTGGTAATATACTTCGATTTGCATTAAAAACCATCACACATTAGCGAACTTTTATGAACATGTTGCAATCATATTCCGGCACCTAATGCGCCACTCTATATCCATTCTTACCGTATACTTTCTGCATTTAGTAATGTTTCTCCACACCTGGCCCGTCTGCTGTCAAACTAGCAGCCATATTTATTGGGATTCAGCAAAAACCCAATCCGGGACACTCACTTGCTTGGACGAAATTCTTAACTCAGGATATTGATCACCCAGGGTGGGTTCTGATACATTAGGGCATAAACAAAGTATTGCTCCATGGGCAGGGGAGAATGACACAAATGAAAAGACTGGATTGGTTAATATATAAATTGCTTTAGACATATAGCAGAGAATGAAAAAATATTGTCCATACACGCACACGGGGGTAAAGCAGACCCGATGATGCAATGAGCTTGCTCGGCGGTATCATGACTGTGTAACGGGTCTTAATGTATAAGTGTGCTCGGCCATAGGTTCAAACAACGCGGATCCTCAAAGCATGTGCTCATGGTATATTCGTGTTTTAACACCCGTGACGCAGGAGAAAGTAAAACGTTTCGACTCTTACAGAATGAAAAAAACTACAAATTGATTTAGACAAGTTGAAGAAAAAAATATTTATATACACGGGAAATCTACTAATTTGTTCCGATGAACTTAACAACAAAGAAGAACACGTTGGTCCATGAACACCGGAAACCCGTAAATATTGGCCACCCTCACTTGAGAAAGTACAACATATGAGTTTAAACACAGGTGTAAAAGGGTAGTTGGTCATATCAAATCTTGGTCCTACTCTCTATTGATTTATATGGTGACCTCATTACAATTATTTTCCTTATTATTTATACACAGTTAGGGCCAGTAAGGGCCGTTAGGAAAGGGGACCATAATCCCCAGGGGACCATAATTTCTTTTACACCGGGAAGAATGAAGAAGGATTGAGTTAGCGCAATCCAGTGGTTGTGCCTGCACAATCCTATCATTGTGTCACTTCAACCCAAAAGCAACTATAAACAATATACGTATATTAGTAATTGTTTTTGTTCCTTTATTGTCATTAAGACTGCAAATCTAATTAGGTAAGCCGATGCTTTGGACAGTCACTACCAATTTATTGAAATGAGTGCTAAAATATCAAACGCAATTATCTCAGCAGTTATGACATGGTTTGGGGTCAAATTAGCAACAACAAATGACCCGAAAATCATGTGTGCAAAATATTTAAAGTTAAGACAATGTGTTTATCGCTATAATAATTAGGTGCTTGTGGCGGCCATCTTGGATTTTCGTGACAACATGGGGTGATCGGAGATATATCAGGTCAGTTTTGGAGTTTTCCAATTGAAATAAATTATAATTGTGCTTTTTACTGAGTGCAGAATTATTGGGGTTATTTAACCTAAGCCGCCTCACTATAAATGTTTGGTTAGATATTTTATCGTTTACATTTTATCAATCCATCGTGTATTGTCCATTGTTCAGTTTAGTATGTATTGTCAAATATGAAATTATTTTAAAAACGAGGAATAAAATAAAAGGTTGACGTACATGCATTGCCGTCTTGCAAAGAGAACCCATCGCGACAGCTGCAAACGAATGATCCGAAAGTATCTGTGCAGATTTGTGTACATCCACCATTCGCCGTAGAACATTCGTTCACCTCTACATCATAGAAATACATTCATTTATTAAACACTGGTATCTTTGTTTCCGGAAATTCCTGGAACAAATGGGAAAATATGTAAGATATCATGTAAAATCACAATTAAATTGATTAGATCTATTTTCCTTAAAATATCTACAAACTAGATTACATCTTTCTGAAACGATGAAAACATCAGTTTACTCAAATGTCATTTCCCTCTTGTTGTACCTACAGTGCGCGTTCACTTATCACGCTTAATTTAGTACACACCCTGTGATAATATGTCCCGGTCCATTCACTTTCAAAATTAAACTAATTGAAAGACTAAACAAATATAAATAAACAAGGCGTATGAATATATTACATTAAAATACCTTAAATGTGTATATAAAAGAGTGAAAATAAATAAATATTTTGCTTTTCATCATTATTTATAATGTATGATGTTATAAAGTAGGGTACTCTTGGAATGGTTAATGAAGTCTATCACAGGGTCTTATCACAGATTTTATAATATTTTGATTTTTTGTTTATCTTAAAAAGCACAAAAAGACCTTTCAAAATGAGCCATGACTTGTGTCATTTTGTGCGATTTTTCCTTGCATATATAGACCAAAAAGTTGGATTTTAATTAAGCACATTTTACTCTCAATCTTGGGCACATTTTTGCTCTGTAGCACAATTTCAATTTTTGTGATAAGACCGGTTTTCCTATGGCCAGGCTCAAATGTATCATCAAAAACAGTATGTATTGGAGAATTCATGATTATTAGACACCCTTTTTGGAAAAAAAACACATAATCAATGAAGCCACAAACTTTGTCCTAACTGTACATGTAAAATTGTATGAACGTATCTTGCCCATTTCTTAAGTTATCGCTTTTGACATAGGGGTCGTTCAAAATAATTTGCGGATAATAATTTATATTTTTATCTTTACAATTCAATACTAATATCCAAGGAAACACGGTTATTGTTTGTTTGACACACACACATGTGATAAATAATATCTTATTTGAAATTAAACCAGACAAATTGAACGATTAACGAAAATATGTTAATTTTTTTTATTCCTTTGAAAATTGCTCAAGCTACGAAATTCCAATATAGTTTCAATGATGCCGCTAACGAATTTTTAAAATATAATGTGTTTCCTCTACAATTCAAGAAAAAATCAATCGTCATATGAATATTTTAATTTTCAAATTTTATATTTTTTGAAATATCAATTATCGTAAATTGGCCCATACACACTATTTAATTTTAACTGGAAAATAGTCAATATTTTAGAAAACGAAAAAAACTTCGGTTTGTTAAACTTTGGTTTGCCTTATTCAAGCCTCCAACATAATGTGACTGAGTAACGAAGTATAACCCAAGACCTAATACTTGTATACAAGCATGAATCTCAACTGGGTGATTAGAGAGTGCTACGAACCATACTTTAACACGCTCCGGGGCCGTAGCTAGTTTTCAGTCAGGGGGATGTGATCGCCCAAAAAATCGGTTTTCAGTCAGGGGGATGCGATTGTAGCATTAACAAGCCAATAATATATTTATTTTGAATTTTACAAAAATTGATTCAACTTCCTTCAAAATTGAGCTAGAAGCTTCAAATAAAAAGCATTTTAAAGCTCTTTTCTTCCTCTGTTCACTGTTCATTGGATATGGAGGGTGGGCGTAGCCAGGGGGGGTGCGATTGGTGCGATCGCACCCCCCCCCCTGGCTACGCCTATGCCTTTCGTAGGATTTTTTAGGCATACCGATTTGATAATCAGATGAACGTAAGAAAATAAATAAATATAAGTTAGTTCCTCAATTTGTAGAGCTTATGAAATATACAAAACAAACTAATGAGCCCAACGTGCGGCAAATAAATGATATAAAACACAATCAGATGGTTTATTAATTTAATTTGAACCTTTTCAATGATAACACATTTTGTATTCAGCGACAAGTTTTCTCCAATAATAGAATTGATTTACACTTCATTTATGTCATTTAACTAATTATCCATGACATTTAAAAAAACTTGGGCCAAATCTCCATTGCTCCATTGGTGCAATGCTAAAATTCAATTAACCCTTGGTTTATTCATATGACAACTAACATGTTCTTGTTTAATCACAGTTACAATGAAGGGGCATCCAATCGTATGCCAGTCGAGATTCAGACAGATTCAACCAACATCATTAATTTTATCTGTATCATCACCCGTTATCTCGATATACTACACATGCAGGGCTACGGTTATTTCGGTTTATGGTATATTGAAAAAAAACATTTATACAGGTCCAAAAAAGGGACTGAAGAAAAGTTGGCATCAGTGTGAACAAGAATACTATCTCGACGATTCGTTTACTTATTCATTCCGTAATTTGGGGAAGCCTATAATAAGAAACATTTTCACAGATTTTATTGACAACCCCCCCCCCCCCCTTGTACAATTTGTCGCAATCGTGAATGACTTATGTGTTAATATCAAATTAAACCTAAGTTGAGGACATAAAACCAAATCGGACGTCCATTAATTGAATTCAACGCTTTTCAATTAAATCATAATCTAGACTATGTATGGTTAAACCTTCCTGAACTTCTTGTGTTATCATCTTTATGCAACGAGCAAGTACCTAACAGCAATTTGAACGGCTGAATCATAAAATAAACGATGAATGTTTCTTAACACTACGAAATCAGATTTTGATTGCAAATAAGATTCACAAAATAACTATTTTGAAAAAATGTTTTGAGGTAGTGTCCTAACCTATAGTTTTCGGAGAGTCAAATTCTGATAATTTTATTATCCTTTGGGACCTCAATATGAGGAAAACGCATTATTTCGATGAGATATGTTGACTTTATCGTGATAAAAAAACTTATATTCACAGATGTACCTGTCTTAAATAATTTGTCATGCAATACCTTGACATTTGACCTTTAAGAATTCAGAAAGGACCAAGTATAATAAAGCAAGCGCTTGAAATACCTGGTGTAGCTGATGTAACTGGTGAAGCTGGTGTAGTTGGTGCAGCTGATGTAACTGGTGCAGCTGATGTAACTGGTGCAGCTGATGTAACTGGCGCAGCTGATGTAACTGGCGCAGCTGATGTAACTGGCGCAGCTGATGTAACTGGCGCAGCTGATGTAACTGGCGCAGCTGATGTAACTGGCGCAGCTGATGTTACTGGTGCAGTTGATGTTACTGGCGCAGCTGATGTAACTGGCGCAGCTGATGTAACTGGTGCAGCTGATGTAACTGGCGCAGCTGATGTAACTGGCGCAGCTGATGTAACTGGTGCAGCTGATGTAACTGGCGCAGCTGATGTAACTGGTGCAGCTGATGTTACTGGTGCAGCTGATGTAACTGGTGCAGCTGATGTTCCTGGTGAAGCTGATGTTATCGGTGCAGCTGATGTTCCTGGTGTAGCTGAGGTACTTGGTGCAGCTGATGTAACTGGTGCAGCTGATGTACCTGGTACAGCTGATGTAACTGGTGCAGCTGATGTAACTGGCACAGCTGATGTAACTGGTGCAGCTGATGTAACTGGTGCAGCTGATGTAATTGGCGCAGCTGATGTAACTGGTGCAGCTGATGTTACTGGTGCAGCTGATGTAACTGGTGCAGCTGATGTAACTGGTGCAGCTGATGTTCCTGGTGAAGCTGATGTTATCGGTGCAGCTGATGATCCTGGTGTAGCTGAGGTACTTGGTGTAGCTGATGAACCTGGTGTAGCTGATGTACCTGGTGTAAATTACAGTAAGTTTACATGTTATTCCTATCTAATTATATCCTTCAAAATTAGAAAAAAAATTCAACAACGTTTGACTGCCCTTGTATAAGGATACTAAATTTTACGATATTCATTACATCCTGTTTTGTAAATAAAACTAATTAGACGTTAAACTTTGACATTGCAAAACGTTATTTAATTGCATATATAAAAAAATATGTTCGTCCTATTGTGTTGTTTAGTATATTTTTAAAAGTACCTTATCAACTAGCCTTGCCCAAGTCGGTATTTTTTTTTACTTATCTGATCTTGAATTATTACCGCCTTGTACAATCGAATACATCATCGCTGATATTATGATAAGTTATTCAGCTGTTTCGGGATTTCCATAAATTCTACGCTGTCAAGAGAATCGCGAAACTGTATTGATTGACAGATCGCATGGACATCGACGTGTGACTTCTGGCTGATTGACCAATCAAAACGTTTTCAGGTTTACCAGCATAAACAAAACAAACTACATATTCACCCTTGGTATACGCAGCTAACGAAAATTGACCGGTACGGGTCAAAAGCAAAAGCTGGACCGGTACGGGTTAAATGTTTTATTTGAATTTAAAACAGCCATAACTTGCTCAATATTGACTTCCTCGTGTCTAATTTGAAATATATGATGCCTGCCGATGCTTGCAGCGAGAAGACGGACCGGTTCGGGGCAATAGCTTGCAGCGAGAAGACGGACCGGTTTGGGGCAATAGCTATAGAAATTCTTTGTCACAAAGTTTGGCATTTTTTTATAAAATCAAACGCGCGTCATTGAAACTCACATGATGTAAATAGCATGTCATTTACATCATACCTTGATGGGGAAAAATAGATCTTATATGTTAGAAGTACTAAATAAAAGTTATCGTGAAAATGAGACAGTTGTTCTCGAGAGAAAAGAGCATAAATGCGCATTTAGAGAGTTTTGGTCCGTTTAAAAATCTGTAAAAAAATTGGGGTACTTAAAAGCATCGAGAGGCATCATATATTTCAAATTAGACACGAGGAAGTCAATATTGAGCAAGTTATTGCTGTTTTAAATTCAAATAAAACCGTTAACCCGTACCGGTCCAGCTTTTGACCCGTACCGGTCAATTTTCGTTAGCTGCGTATACCAAGGGTGATATTAAAGACTTGAAATTCAATGATCTGATCGTGCATTTCTTCAGAATTACAATATATTATGCAATTAATTGTACATTTGAATGTAAGCCGGTGTGAAAGAAATGATGGTCCCCCAGGGAGTATTGTCCCCTTTCCTAACGGCCCTTACTGGCCCTGATTGCGAATAAGATAATAAGGGAAAGAGATGTATTGAGGTCACCATATTTATAAATCTATGGAGAGTAGGACCATAATTTGATAGGACCTCCTACCCTTTTACACCGGCATTAATATAAATTAAACCATGCGACCCAATGTTGATTTAAAACTGAATTCGCGATGTAAATGCACGAAGACCTCGTCCATGTAATTGTCGATATAATTCAGTAATTGATATGAATCTCGGCCTCTAGAGATGTAACAAATATGTTCGACAATTTCAGAGATCTTTTCAACGCTTCTTGTTGAAATCTTCTCACCTCTGGGTATCTGATTGTACCCCAGCATCCACTAAACTCAGATTGATATTTATCTGATAAAATATTTGTATTTTCATATACCCTGCGTGCAGAGTCTAGTTAAACAACGAAGCTCTCTTTTAATAAGTGAAGTCAAACGAATGCAAAGTGTAATTTTCATGATGAATTGTGCAAGATTTGCTGGAGGATTTGTTCGTGAAAAGTGTACTTGTCTTTACCGTGCATAATAATATAATACCGTTGCTTTCTCATTGGTACAAGGCGGTCATAATAGAAATCAAAATAAGTAAGAGACCGACTTGGGCAAGGCTACTTATCAACACGTAAAGTTATCCGATAAACCATTAATAAGGAACAGACAAATAAAAACAAATAACATAACATTACTAGTAAACCAAATGGGTTGCTCATGGACACAAAATGCAAGGAGAGTAATTATAGGATAACCAGTAATTATAGGATAACTGAATATTCTAAATCTTGTGTCGGAGGACTATCACCGATTATTGGGACGAAATGACATCAGGATATTATTGATGGGTGAGGCACGTACCAATCCTTTTAATCATAAAAAGCCCCTAAGTCACTGATACCCACCTAGTTACACAGACGTATCGTCAGTGTATCATGGCGGAACTACTTCCGGGATTTGAACTCGGTGAGATATTTTTATTTCTCGATTTACATCTACTTATATGTCACGATGTTGATTATAATTTGGCTCGAAGTTATGGGAGATAGTTTAGTTTGAGAATGTGTCGATGGTTTTAGGTTTGGTATGTTAACGAAGACGCATTTCACATATTTAGTCCCTCGCTTTTGTTTCACTGACGATCGGCATTAATATTGCCAATATTACACCGACGAAGAGGTTTGCCTACACTGACGAATGGATAATATAATAGAGAAAGTTGATCTTTGGAATGTCATGAACAAAGGACGTAGCCATAGGCCCAGTAACATTTATAAAAATCGCCTCGATATTTTTATACATGTTCCTGGGCCTATGGAGGTAGCTTTCTATCAAATTTCGGAGATTTCTGGCAGGTGCCCAGGGGAGGTATGTGAAGCTGAAGCTGAGATATTGAATCAAATCCTTTCAATTATTCTTATGTTATTATGATAACTAAATGGATTCTCTTTGGACCAGGTAAAACATCTAACAATCACTTTCTCAAAATAAATGACACCAAACTCAAGCAAGACATCACTATATCTTTCTTAGGAATAGCTATTGATGCCAATTTAACTTTCAAAGAGCATATCAAAAACTTAGAAAAAAAGATTTCTCAGTGCATTTGGGTCTTGTATGGAGTCCATAATTTTTTAACAAAAAGTGCTTTGCTCAGTATATACTACTCTCTTATTCACTCTCAACTCAATTACTGCAATATTATTTGGGGTAACAACTACAAATCTTATCTTAATAAAATTCACATGATTCAAAATCGATTTGTTCGCATAGGAAAAAAATACCTTGATCATACAGCTCCATTATTCAAAGAACTTAATCTTCTGAATATATATGATATAAATAAGCTGAATACAGCAATTTTCATGTACCAAGTAAAAGATGGTGACCAAATACTAAATTCTCTACTCGATACAAATTTCCAAATAAACTGCGATACACATAGTTATAATACCCGCCAATGTGACAACTTCCATATTGAACATGCGAACAAATTTTCCATAAAACGTAATGGGCCTTCACTATGGAATTCTCTTAAAAATTCCACAAAAATGTCAAAATCTATAATCTCCTTTAAAAAGGCCTACAAATCTGACCTCTTGTCAAGCTATTTATAAAAAAAACTGTCTTATTAAACATTTTATTTACTATCCACGCATTGTATATTACAATAGTCATGGCACATCATTTAAACACAACGTACATACATGCTTAGTGTATGCATTGTACTATGTTATATCATGTAAATACTTGTATATATGAGACTCATATACCTATATACCCTTGTAAACTAGTTAGACTATATATATATATATCTTTTTTTTATATTTGCTAGTGATACTTTTTTTTGATACTTGACATTATACTTTTATATGCCATTTGGTGTCAGTATTAGTCATGTATTATTATTGTATATACATTTTTTCTAAATAAATAAATAAATTATGATATGTGCATAACATCTCGAAATATTTAAACAAAACAGGCATCATATTCTCAATTTATCATAAATTGGAGTCCCAATTTACTCGTAGTATATAACATCGGGTTGATGTGATAACGCTATTGGGAGTGCGCAGTTTATTTACTTTATTCTGCTACAACTATCATCACATTTGTTTTGACTGGCTCCTATTGTAGTTGACCAAGAGCCATCTACTTCTACTGCAATGGCGGACACTAGTGGGTTAAGTTTCATGTTTGCTGAAATTTGCTCGAGATGCTTGCATCAAATGTCATTCCACAATGTATTGATTCTTGGGCTTAAATTATTTTCACACATTGCAAAATATTTTCTACAAAGTCACCTACAACATACAAAATCACTAAAATAATATATTTCTACTGAAACTTTTTGCGAGGGTCAAGTATTTGAAAAACATCAATTACAACTCCTCACCTAGCAAGTATACAAAACAAATGCATTTTTGATTATTTTATATTAATTCACTAGAGTATCATCATATGTGAAATGTACACATAAGATTACATTTAGAAATGCTTTCAATTCATTTTTAATTATCAGATTCACTTGCACTGTTGATGAAGATTTTGATGATCAATCATCTTTAGCCAATATATGATCGATTTTTTGCGTAAATAAGAATCCTAAATTCACTAATTGTCTTTAAATGCCACTGACTATTGAAATTAATAGGTGACAATTGATGATGCACGGGATGGTAACTTGCTCTTTTCCTTTGTATGTTCACAATAATTGATACGGATTGTTCTCCTAGAATGATATTTACAATGGTCATGTTCAATAATGCAAAACTGTGTACGTTTGACCACACCCGGGGACAACACACATACGTGTAACGTTTTAGAAACATGTCCATGGCCAGAGATACCTCTCCAATATACGAGCTTTGGCTTTTTTTCACAATTCTGGCTAAAAATCATTATGAACCTGCTCAGAATGGTGAAAACTGCATGGTTTTGTAAAAATTGGGAACATCATGATATTGGCAAAGTGTTCTAGGGACGACACTGTCCATATATTTACATTTAAGTTAGATAATGTTTGTATCGGGATCGTCCAAAGTTGTTTTCCCTTGGGTCTGGGTTTGTCAGTGTTGCAACAGCTCCAAATCAAAGATTCGTCAGTGTGATATTGGTCGTTCGTCAGTGTAACAAAAGCGAGGGACTAAATACGTGAATTGTGTCTTCGTTAACATATAAAACCTAGAACCATCGACACATCTTCCTTAACTTCGAGCCAAATTAGTATCCACAACGTGACTTATAAGTAGGTGTAAATCGGGAAATCAAAAAAATCTTACCGAAACCTAGTCCCGGAAGTAGTTCCGCCATGATACACTGACGATACGTCTGTGTAACTAGGTGGGTAGCAGTGTAAGTGTTATTCTATTCATTTTTCTTTCTTTTAAATAATCAAAATGTTTGCGAAATTGTTTTTATTCAATATGATGTTCACAAAGCACGAATGATGACATTTGCAAAGTAAGGTCATTATGTCGAAGTTCAATCGTAAAAAATTCAAATTTAGTCACAGTCAAGAAATTTCCAAACCTGATAAGAATGGCTTGCGTTCGGTGGCCACATTTCATACTTCACAAGCTTTTTTTTTGTCTGCATAATTTTACAGAGCAACTTGATTTTGGTCAGTTTGGTAATCTAAGGTAAGTTACAGATGTCACAAAAAATCACATCGTGTTTTTGGTAAATGTTTATATGTAATATTTTGAGTTTGAACTCATCAATCGTCTTCTTATTTTTGACTAATGTGTATTATGTTTCTTAAATTATGAGCAAAAAGTTACATTAAGTTTGCTGGTTATTTACTACTAGTTATTTGAGAGTTTGGCAATAGGAAAAATACTTTTGGTACTCTGCCATCAACAATAGATAAAACGAACTTTTGCAGAATGTACAGTCAGCGATGCAAAACACGTGAAATGTGTGCATATGAGAACTTTTATACCTGGTTGAGTTGATGGACTTGTCGGACCTTGTGTAGTTGTTGGTTCAGGTTCTTTAAAGTGTATACAAAACTCTCCTCTGCAACCTTTGGATACCCACGTGGTCCCTGTCTCATAATTGAAACCCCATTTGTCGTCCTTCGTGCATCGTGTCCTGGAACACATATTAAACTTAGTTTAAACATTCATGTTCTATCTCCCTTTGCCTCTACATGTTTCCTCTCTTTCTTTTACACGCTCCCTCTCTTTCTCTCTCTCTCCCCCCGCCCTCTATCCTCCCTTTAACATTTCTTTCATAATGACTTTCCTTTTAAAATTACACTTTTATTACATGCTATTTGTACATATAGACGTCAAGAAAGATTAAAATTAACTGATCCAATCCTAACCTGACCAACACAAATTAAGAAATATAGACCGAAGAGCGGGGTTAGTATTGTCGAATACACCCTGCAGGGCTAGACACAAACGTTTTCTGTACCCCAAACGACCGAAGGGAGTGAGGGGTTCAAAAACCTTTGTGCTTAATCCTAAGGGGTGTATTCGACTATATAACCCCTGATCTGAGGTCTATATTACGATTCGAACATGAAAACTCACCAATATGTTTCGAATATTCATTACGGTCCGACATTACTACGCCCCGCCGTTATGACGTTTCACATTACACGTATTACCAGGGGTATTCTTTGCGAATATACCCCGGTTGTAATGTTGACTTTGTGTACAGTTTATAGTTGGCGTGAATACAGTCAATTTCGAAAGTTCTATATAACCTTGTTGGACAGATTGTATCCTTGAATCATTATAAAATTGACAAATAAAAAGTGATCGTACCTTGATACCTGAGTCTTGAGTGTTACGTCTTCCATAGACATGGATGCCAAGAATGGCTTTTTGTCGAACACCGTACAAGTGGCGTTCCTCCATCTTTTACTTGAGCAGGGAAAGCAATATTCCCCTAGTAATGAAATATCAATTATAGTTTATTACTAGAAGAACCAATAAGCGACTATGGATTCATCTTGAACCTATATTCATACATTTCCAATAGTTTGTGGGTGAGACCTCGAATAATGCGAAGAAACAGTTTTGATTGGCAAAATTTGACATGGGGAGTATTTGCTAAAACAAGGCATTAACATGTAAAATGTTATCACCTGTCAATCGTTCCAGACTCTGAACGCCAACCGCCGAATACCGTCCTCAAAAAGTTTGAGACTCTAACAATATGTCACAAGACAGACACGTAATATATGAATAAATTACAATACAAATTACATAATAATAACATAATAATATTCAATAATATTTCGTGAACTTTTCAGAGGATAAACTTCTAAGCATTCCAAATATTTAAATATTCAGTCCTGAATTACGTCAATTCCGCGTGCAAAAATTGGGTAGACGTTGTCATTACCAAATGCCCAAACGTGTCAAGAACACAGATAATTGAATGATCCTCATAGTCTTGCTCAAAGACTGTATCCAACCCCCCCCCCCCCGTAACCTTCACTCTCTTTACCTGGCAATATACACCCTAGAGAGAGCGATAAAGGGGGGAGTACAAGGACTTTTAAGCAAGACTATGATCTCGATAGAAGATCAGGTTGCAGTGAAATCGTAATTTTACTGAGTGGCTTCGCGAAAAAATAGATAGGCTATACGCCTCGTTAAGCTAACGATTTAATGCATTTTGGCTTCTTCATTTCACTCGGGGGTAGTTTCAAAAACTGCATTCCCGCTGACAGGTTATGCAAACTTTGAAAATAACACATAAGAGAAATCTTTAGTATTTAAGAAGTCATTTACAATTCTAAGCAAAATAGATATTCAGTAAAGGCTATATTATTCAATAAGATGTTTGAATTTGACGTTTACCGAGTAAACAATTTATAGAGTAGAACAAGAGAATGGTATACATACAATTTACATTTTAATAAGGGCATAGCATGGAACTGTTTATGTAATGTGCTGAAAAGGCATACGGCAAAAACTTTTGATTGCAATAAAGACAAAAATTCCATAAAGATAATTGAGATAACAAAAGATGGTATTATATAATAAAATTGCTCAACGGCTCAATAAATAATTTAGTGTAGTCATAATGTGCCTAAATGCGTGCGTTTAGAGGGATTTTAAGGGACATAATTTTTCATGTTGTTAGTATGATTTCACATATTTGTATGAATTATTAGATCCTAGTTTTTCAGTTTTTAGATTTTGTGGCCATTTTACCCCACATGGGCTATAATTTGGACCCCTACTATAAAATTAGGCAAGAACTCAAAAAATACTCAGTGGAATGTTTTCAAATTGCTATGGTATATTGATATGGGCTATATAAATATATGATAAATATGTCAAGTTGCATGGTTAAGGGGTTGCCATGGAAATGGATAAAACATACCCTTTGGGTGTCAATTTTCAGGCCAATTTTTCAGGAATGATAGAGTCATTTTGTGCATATTTCGTCACCAGTGTGTTAGGAGGGGTTGAAGTGAAGATAGAAAAAATGATTGATTTTAAGTATTAAATCAGACTTTGAGAGCTGAAATGTGATTGGTTACCATGGTAACTAGGGTTTTATTGAAATTCAGACCTCCACAATTGATAAATGTAATAACCTTTGAATTCAAGCAGATACAGATATCAGCTTTTCAGAACTTAAAAGATAATTAGACTTGTGTATTGTGTCAGACTTTGAAGGTTACAATTCACTTGGTTGCCATGATAACCATGTTTCATTGTCATGGAAACTTCATTTTTGATTTCAGATTTACCTTCATTTGAGAATGGTCAAGACACAACATAGAACGCAAAATTGCTAAAATTATCATTTCCTCTTAATTTCAGCATTATTTCATGGCTGTCTGACAGAATTGCCTTATTCCACTCTACTAGTTCTCACACATATTCTACTCCTAACTTGTTTTTACTCATCATTATAGTTTTCATCTTCCACAATCGTCTCTTAATTTAAAATATCAGCAATTTCAACAAGGAAGGATTATTTTGACCATTAGGATGTTAAAGATTACTCGGGGAATTCATAATTCATTCACGCAGTGTTTGGCTTGGTAGAGCTTGGTTTGGGCTGGTGGGAATGTTTCCATACACAGGTTTGATAATTCACCCTCTTCACATGTGAAAGAGTTAAAATGTCAACACCTTCATAAGTGAGGGCAGCACTGTTCTGTCTTTGAGAATACTAGTGTCTCATGTGAACAACTCATCTCGTAATTTATTAGTGGCAGTTATTTTTGTAATTCAGCTGTACTTTTGCAGGTGAACAATTCAACTTTGGATTTTATGGTATCAGGAATTTCTATATTGTTTCCTATTGAAGGAAACAACTTTAAGAATTGTTTGTCTTCAGTTTCAGTTGATTTATTTTACTTTTTTTCAGATCCAGTAACAATAAAATCCAAAGTTGAATTGTTCACCTGAAAAAGAACAGCAGAATTACAAAAATACATTTGTAACTGACATCAATAAATTACAATATGAGCTGCTTCACATAAGATATTCTCCAAAACAGTATTCATCATTCAGATCCAGTAATGCAGTGAAGACTAATATGGCTTCATACAGTACTTCGTTCTAAGTTTGCAGCTACAGAGGTTTGGTTGAGCTTCTGACATCTAATGGGACAGAGTTCACATCAGCTGAGGTTCTTAAAGTTGTTTTCTTCATAATAGGAAACAATATAGAAATTTGAAGAGGATGAATGACAAATCCTAAATGTTGGAGTGAGCAATCATTACAAGGTTGAAGTTATTCTACATAGCAGCTAATGTAATGCAATGAATTACATTGAAGCCAATGATGAACTCTTCACAAAAAAACGTTCTACAAACCCACGTTTTAATAATTTGAGAATAATATATCAGGATCTCTGAATTCACCTTATTTCCAAAAGTATGTAAAAATTTCACGATGATCACTTCTAGAATAAAACAGTTGTGTCCTTCTAAAAAGCTCTCCATAGTGACTCTTCACCTTTTAAGATCTGATATGAGAATGCCCTCCAAATTTTGACTTGAAGTATGGCAATGGTCCAATTTGTCCACTTACTGGTATGAGAATGGTCTTGGAAAATATGTTACCCCTCACGTGTGGTATGGCATTGGTCTAGTATATATCCTTTATAATGTGAAGTTGTTTATGGTTGTTTTCCTCAACGGTCTGCCTTCTTCTCGGGGCATTAGACATTTTGAATGGCCATGTTTTTATATCTGGATATTTGATATCGCATTGATCCTAAATTTGGACATTTGGCATGACTTTTGGGCATTACTTTGGTTGGTATGGAAATACATTCAAATTTGACAGATTGGTTTGGGAACATATTGGATTTCGAGGGTTCAGCCAAGGACCCCAGCCACATTTTATATACAGTGAACCCTCAGGGACCATTAACCCATTCTGTCAAGCACAATACTGCGTGAATGTACTAAATCCCCCGAGGATCCTCAACTCGAGAATGGTCAAATCAAGCCTTCATTTGAACAGAAACGGTTGATATTTAAAACAAGAGGCAATTGTGCAAAATGAAAACAGTATTGATGAATAAAAATGAACAAGTTAGGAGTCAGAATATTTGTGAGAACTAGTAGTATGGAATGAGGCAATATTGTCAGATATAAATATACATGTATTGTTTACTAATATTTGATATTCTATGAGCCAAACAATTTTTGCCTCTCTAGTATTAATGAGTCATGAGCATGTAAATTATATAAAATAGGAAAAATCCAAAAATTAAGAATAAAATGGCAATTTGGTATTTTATACTATGTATTGACCTATCTAGAATGAAGGTGAATCTAAAAACAAAAACGGCAGTTACCATGAAAATGAAACATGGTTACCATGACAACCAAGTAAATCCTAACTTCGAAAGTCTAATACAATATAAACATTTTATTATTATCTTATATCTGAAAAGATGATATTTGTATCTGCCTGTATACGTATAGCGTTTATCAATTGTGGAGGTCCGAATTTCAACACAACCCTGATTACCAGGGTAACCAATCAAATACAAGCCTCCAAAGTCTGACTCAATCCTTAAAATCTAATGTCTAAGATCTGAAAAACGAGACACGTATATCCCTTATTTCAAAAGTTATAGCATACATCCAATGTGGGGGTCCGAAATTTCAATAAAACCTTGGTTACCATAGCACCCAATCACATACCAGCTCCCAAAGTATAATACAATACTTAAAACCAACCATTTATGCAGATCTGAAAAAATGAGACCTGTAACTCCATTATTTCAAAAGTTATAGCATCCATCTAATGTAGGGGTTCGAGTCTGTGAAATAGACCCCTGTATAAATCATGGACCCATATAAGGCCAAAATCTGAAATCATGTACACTAATCTTTATATAAGATTGTTGCTAATATATTATAAAAGTTTTCTATCCATACTTTAACCCTTCCTAACACAATGGTGACAAAATATGCATGAAATGACTCTATCATTTCTGAAAAATGGCCTGAAAATCAACACCTGAAGGGTATATTTTATCCATTTCAATGGCAACCACTTAGCCATGCGACTTGACATTTTTATCATATATTTAGTTAGTCCATACCAATATATTCAAGTAATTTGAGTACATTCCACAGAGTATTTTTAGAGTTCCAGCCCAATTTTATAGTAGGGGTTCAAATTATAGCCCATGGGGTGAAAAATGGCCACGAAATCAAAAAGCTGAAAAACTAAGATCTAATAATCCATACAAATATGTAAAATCATACTAGCAACATGCAAAGTTATATCCCATAAAATCCCTCTGAACGCACGCCTAAACCCTCATTCTGACTGCACTAATAGTAAAGTTTCCATATAGCTTTTGAAATCT